TTCTTGGTTATCTGTTATACTTTATTTTCTAACACAAAGAATGTAAAACAACATTCATTAAACTAAAAAAAGCAAAAAATTATGTATAAAATAAACTCTTAGTAAAGTTTGAAATGGGATATGAAAACTTACTTTACTATCATGCGAAATGAACTCCAACCTATATGTTTCATTAGGATATGTCAACTTCGGCAGCTCGTAAACACAGATAACACGCACTTTCAGAGCCCAGTTAGTCTTCGTGACGTTGATATTTAGCACAAGATCAAATATCGATGTCATATGGACGTATATTCTTACAAATGCTATCTTCGACGTGGCAGAAAAAGTGTAAAAAATAAAAGGAAAAAAAATTTTAAATCATGAAACAAAACAAAATATGGTCATTAACAAATGTATTCGAAACAGAATTACTAGAACAATACAATACCTCCAAGTTAGAGAACAAAAGTCGAGCAACAGATGGTGCTCATGGAAAAACATTTCGGTTTCTAAACATTTAAAAAAAATGGTGGACAGAATTTTTGAAAACAAAAAATGCAGACACGAGGTAGACGAACAGACTTTTTGAAATCAAGAAACACGAAACAAAAAAAAAATAGTCATTAACAGATGTATTCGAAACAAAATTGCTAGAACAATACAATACAATACCTTCAAGCTAGAGAAAAAATATCGTGCAACAGATGGTACCCATAGAGAAATATGGCGGAAGTTTATATATAAAAGGGAAGTTACAGTGACTTTTCGTTTTCCAAACATTTAAAAAAAAGAATGATTTAACAAACACAAAGCTCAACAAATGAAATTGTTACTATCAATAAAAGCATGCTGTAATGTTTGATTAATGGGTAGACGGACTGAATTTTGGAAAACATAAAACGCAAACGTGAGGTAGACGAACAGACTGTTTGAAATCGGAATTCCATAAGAGGAAAGTACATTTTGGCGGAAAATTTTTTTTGACGGCACTTCTTTTTTTATATATACATAGATAACTGTCCAAGTTCATACTAATTTATTCTATATTCAACAAACGGACACCTCCATAATCCCAAATCGAAATTTCTCTCGTTTCCCACACTTCGAATTTGCGCGTGCCCTAAAACTTTTGCAACTTTTTTCCTATTTATTATTGACCCTCTCTCCTTTGAATCTCAATTCTTCCTCCCGGCGTTTCCAGTTTTTCTCTACACATTCGTCTATCGGGTTGAACAATTTTTTTTCTCGTTAAAGGCGGCGTTTTCCGCCCCCTTTTTTTTGCTGGTATGTGCTGAGTTTTCCCTCTGTTTATGATTTTTTGGTAATTTCTTATAGGAATTTTTTTTTTTTAAATTCTCAACGGTGATTGATTAATCTACCAGTTTGAAACAAAATACCTTATCCTGTGCAGATTTTTGGCAATCTCACGGGCCTTAAGGTAGGCATTGTATCCTTATTCTTTTGTCTGGGGAAGGTTGGTTGTGTTTGTTAGATAAAATCTTTGTCTGAAAATATGGGTTAATTGATTCGAACAATTGGTGTTTTAATTTATGCGAAATTTGCAAGTTTCAGACGGTTTTGATGATATCTTGTAGTGGATCTCTAGGCGCTAGGCGCACTAGTCTATTGGTGAAGTTCTTTCTACAGTAAATGGGCTGTTTTAGTTCTAAGGCAAGAAGGCAGTTTCCTGGACATGAAGACCCCGTTTTGCTTGCTTCCCAAACAGCTTGTAAGCTGGTTTATTTTGTTTTTTGATTATTAGTATTTGGAGAAATGCTGAATCTTTTTCTTTTCAAGTTGAGAAAGACAAGATAAAACATGAGTTTGTCATGCTAACAACACAAGTAAATTTTAGCAAGGATATAGGTTTTATCTGGCGCACAATGTTACATAATGGATCTACAGTAAGCCTTTTACTGATTTGCTTAGTTAATCAAGTGGAAATGACGTATTTGCTAGGATATGAGGCATGAATAGCTGAGGTGTCTATAGTTGGTTTGTCAATCACTTACTGGCTCGGATATTGAAGGGAAATTGACTTTATACGAATAGACTAGTTGTTTGATTTGTTACTCTCTCTCTCATCTTGGGTTTTGCTTGATCTAAATATATATTTCTTTGTTCTATCTTTATTCATTTTTGCCTCTGAACTTTTAGAATCAGTGTTTGTACCCTGTTATAATTCTGTTGTTTTTCACATTAAAATTCTTTTTCTTTTTTATTAGTTTTGGGAATGCTTCTGTTTGTGTCCGCATCTAGTTAAAAATTGCAGAGATATTTACCATGTCATTTAATTTTGCATGAACATTCAGAAAAAAATATTTAATATACCTAAGAAAATACAATGCACCAAGCCTTTGAGGCAGTCATTTATTCATTTATCATTCAGGATTATCGTTATAATTGCGTTTTTGTGATGTCGTTGTTAATTTATTTATAATAAAATTTAATAAATCTGTTTTTTGCTTTTGCAGTTAGTGTGAGTGAAGTTGAAGCACTATATGAATTGTATAGGAGCATTAGTGGCTCTGTGATTGATGATGGCCTAATAAATAAGGTGATGTTCACTAACATCAACCAAGCCTCCTTTGTACTTTTCATACGTGACGTTTCATTTTAATCTATGGTTCTCATGCTTCTTGTTTCTGCCGTCTCTTTTTTTATGAGAATATGTAACCCATTGGTGTTTGGAAGATATTGTTCTTCTGTGACCTACATGAAGTAAATGCAATTGCAATATTCTCTTTCAATTTTTTGCATCACTTGGTATTTGCTCGTGCATAATCAGTATTTGTTGTATGTGTCTAGGCTCTATAATTAGTAAGAAGCTTGTTCTTGTAGAGCAGTTATCTTATATCATCTGCAGTACACTAGATAATTAATTCTATTTTTCTTATCAAATTGTTGACGTACTTTTATATTGAGGTATTGTTTTAAATTCGATGTGAAAATGTTAATTATGATTTGTAAATTATTGAACTTATTTTGAATGCTCAAGTTGATACTTGCTTAACATTGTACGAATATCTGAACGAGTATTGCTAAATGGAGGTGGCACCAGGACATGGAATTGCTTTCAAAATAATTATTTCATGAGAAACTACGTGATCTTTTTCCAGTTTTCTCTGTTGGACTGTGATTTTAATAAAAATCTTCTTTTACATTATTTCCGTCTTTTCTAATTTAATATGATTATTGCCCCTACCGAGGAAATAATAGTAATACCATTTGCGTTGTGCTAACTATTTGAATTATTTGTGCCTAATGGCGTGTAAATATGAACTCGATACCATTTTTGAAATGCAGGAAGAATTTCAATTGGCTTTGTTCAAGAACAGAAAAAGAGAGAATCTTTTTGCAAATCGGGTACATTGCTGCATGATATTTAGGTTTTTTGAGTTGGTTGACTTTTTTTTTATCAACTGCTTGTGTGAAATTAATTATTTGAAAATCAGTTTTTCCTACACTCATTTTCAACTACACATTCTAAAAAAAATAAAAAAATTCACGTTTCCTCATATCTTTTTGCTACTTGTTTACAACACGTTCTCCACCAAAAAATCACTTTCACACAAGCACTAAGTATTAACCAACCAGTAAACGTTGAATTACTTTATTGGCAACTGAAATATGAGCTTTGTTCTTTTATTTCGTTTCATTTTTATTTTGTCTTTTCTGAGAGGTAGAGAACCTTCAGCAAATGAATGTTTCTGTCGAGAGTAATTTATTTATTGATTGTCTTGAAAGGGTACAAATGCACTTAACTGAAGCAATATGATACTAATTAGTAGTGGTTTGTCTGGCTGACTGGGACCTTGTGGAGTTGGTCCACCAAACAATTTTTCTATCTGTCTTTAACTAAATGTCTTCATTTTGTTTATTGGATTCCCAAATAAGGGTGCACTTAATGGAATTCCATTTTTTTATATTCATGCACACAAAATTAATAACATAAAGGGTGGCTAATCACTTTGTATTACATTTCCAAAGACATGATTGGAAAATTACACAAAACACCTTTCAAAATAATCTCATCTAATCCACCAACAGGGTATATTTGATGTCTCTCATCCCCCTAAGGCTGGCAGGAGAGAGCTAGCTGGGGGAAGAAGAGGAGGGAGATTCGATAGGTTTTCTGGATGGGAGAGCAACGAGACATCATAGTGCTAGAAATGTGAGGGCAAGCCATATTTCCATTTTATATGGCCCCAAAACCGAGCATTCGCCTATAGGTGATCTGTGAACAATGTATATTTCATTAACTGTTGAGTTCTCCTTTCCTCTACTTTTCTAGGCTTGAGAAAGGGTTAAGAACTTAAGTTGATTTGTTCTCTTTGTTGTGTGGGGGAAATCACTTCCCTATTTTGTGACAGTTGCTTCACTTTTGATTAATTTAGTAATTTAGGGCCTCGGATCTTTCGAAACCCTGATTACCTTGTCCCAAGATGTGCGACTGAGAACTTTCCCAACTTCTAAAGCTTGCTTCTGTTTTTCTTATGTGAATTAATGAAGTATTGATTGTCTTCCTTTTTTCTTTGTTTCTTTTAACCCCTCACATGCTTCTGCAATACAGTGACAATTCTGTTTCACTTGCAGATATTTGATCTCTTTGATGTGAAGCGAAAAGGATTTATTGATTTTGGTGACTTTGTTAGATCACTTAATGTTTTTCACCCAAATGCTCCTCAAGAAGATAAAATCAGTTGTGAGTAGAAGAAATGCCACTATAGTTTGTGATTTCAGTTGTTTTTCCCTTTATTCTCGTTTGAGTGCAGAAACTTTTATTAACTCTTGAATATTTGGAACGTTGCAGTTACATTTAAGCTATATGATTTAGATGGTACAGGATTTATCGAGCGCCAAGAGGTAGTTTAATTTAATTTATCACAAGTTATTTTTTATCGTTTCTATCTTGTTTAAACTGATAATACACTCCTTGTGTATTATCTTTTGATTTTATTTATAAAATTGCGTGATTACCTATCAAAAAAAAAATTTTATTACAAGTTTCGTTATATGTGGTGTGAAAACAATATTAAACCCATGTTTGGCTAATGTTTAGGAACGGTCTATAATCGGTGAATTCACTTTTTATCCACACATTTTGTGGGTCTATAAGTAATACCCACTTATCTATTATTCATTTCTATCTATTTATAATTGAACAGTTTATAAACACTTCCCAAACATGCTTAGCTATGTTATGTGTGCCCTTTAACTAATGTCAAGTATTAATTAAGGTCAAGTACCCAGTTTGAACATTCAAAGCTTGGACATGGGTGTGGTATGGAGAATTTTTCATTTTAAATATGAAATGATAGATTTTCAAATAAAAATATTTGATCACTCCCTAATGTCCAACTGTATGAGTCCTTTCTCTAATACCAATCTTGTCAACCCTTGTGGTATTAATTTTATATTATTCTTTTTATTGACACAGTTTTGCAAACTGCTTTATGGTCTGTGATTTCTGCAGGTTAAGCAAATGTTGATTGCGCTTTTATGTGAGTCTGAAATGAAGTTGACAGATGAAAGTATTGAGATAATACTTGATAAGGTATACTGCCATATCATTCATTCTTCCACTGAATTGTTATTCGTGGCTATAATTTCGTAATTTTTTTAAGACTGACTCAAGGATTGCCATTTCCATTGGTTTTTACCAGGAAATTATAAAAGTGAAAGAGAGAGAATAAACAAAATTAAGAAAAAGGGTCCACTTTTTTATGTCTGATCTTGCTATATTTTATCTTTTGAAGCCAGATTTTGTTTGGCTTGTTAATTGGGTGATGCAGGACCCTAGCCTTCCGTTCTTTAATTGGAGCTTTTGAATAATATTTTTCTGGAATTCAATGCTCTTGCATTATAGTGGCACTGTATTTAGTAATTATGTCGTGAGGTTATTCTGTCAGAAAATTTTATTCTTTTCTTATCACTTCATTGAACAGACATTTCTTGACGCGGATATAGACCGGGACGGTAAAATAGACAAATCTGAGTGGCACAATTATGTGGAGCGAAATCCTTCGGTGATGAAGATAATGACACTTTCGTATTTGAGGTATCTTGATGTTATCCCTGGCTAAGCCTAAAAAAATGTGAAGTTACTTCTAAAAGTTACGCACTTGCATAATTGAAGTTGAGTTGTAGATTGTGATCAAATGCAGGGATATAACCACCACATTTCCGAGCTTTGTTTTCCACTCCGAGGTCGATGAAATCGCTACATAAATTAGAAGACGTAGTCTAGCTGTTATATTTTGAATATACCAGAAGCATACATTGGTGTTAAAGAAAAATGAGAACTTGTGGATGGATATATGGGGAGTAGAATCTATGCTTGTTGGAGGTTGTGCTAGATTTAGATGTGCCCTTCTTCTACGTTCATTTGTAATGCATATTCTAACAGGCACTTCTGCTTTCTTTATCCATTTTTGGTGTTGAAATATGAGTTGAGAGGCCTGTTCTATTGTACTGGATGGAGGAAAATTCTGTATCTCAACTAGTAAAAAAAAAAAAATGGTGGTGGAAAAAGCCATGGTTGGAGTCTGTCTCGACATGGATGATTATCCTGTTGTGTTAGGTCAGACTAGAGGTGTCAAAAAGGGCTAGACCGCCTATAGAGGCTGTGTCGTGGGCTGGCTCGTGTGAAGGGGCGGAGATAAATACTATTTGGTGAATATTGGGTACCCACATTAGAAGGGCTATCGTAACGCTCCGAAAATTTTATAAAATATAATTTATTTGTTCTATATATTATATATTAATATACTGAAAAGTTGAAGGATTAAATTCTTTTTATTTTGACCAAATAATTAGATTTTGATATAGGAAAAATAAGTGTATTGATATTAGACTCTTTTTGTAGCTCGTAATTAATTAGAATAATATGTTAATAGAGTTGGTTGGGGATTGCAATATTAATTGAGTAAAATTCTTTTCCTCTTTTAATTTCCATCGCGCGTGATTTTTTATTTGATATGAAAACGATGGTGTAGTACAATTCAAATGTCATTTTTTTGAAACCAAGTTCATGTTGGCCACGTGTCCAATTTTAAAATGAAAAATGTAATTATATAATTAGTAATTAATTAAACTTAGTTTATGATTTAAATTTTTATGGTAGCCACGTGTGAGATGATAAATGTTGATTTTGATAAAAATAATCTTTTTGTGATTTGGATAGAGTTTAATTGTAATCTTAATTAGATAAAATTTAATAGTAATCATAATTCTATCTTTTAAAATCAATTATTATCATGATAAATGTTGATTTTGATAATGATAATCTTTTTGTGATTTGGATAGAGTTTAATTGTAATCTTAATTTAATAAAATTTAATAGTAATCATAATTCTATCATTTAAAATCAATTATTATCCAAATTTTTTATATTACACCGTTTTTCAATTCTAGTAGTATATAAACTCAATTAAGAATTTCAATTATAAATATTGCAAGAATTTCTATTATTTCATCATAAAAAATAAAGAGAGTCATGGTAGAGAGAGAGGAGAAGAAAAATAATAAGAGAACTTTTATGTGTAAGATTTATTCTTTTCAACCTTTCAAAATTAATGTAAACTACTTTTGCGCAAGTAGTTTGCTTTCTTAAATTTTTTGTTCAATAATTTATGCATGAATTGTCAGTGGACCTTCGAATTCTTTATTAAAAGATATGAAATTCTTCGAGAATTTAAAATAACCTAAAATGAATGTATCGCTTGGTCATCGATATACTCCATAAGAGGAGTTGTATGAAATGTTTATTTTATTGATATAATTGTGATTCTGTGAATGGAATTACACCGTTTTTCAATTCTAGTTGTATATAAACTCAATTAAGAATTTCATTTATAAATATTGCAAGAATTTCTATTATTTCATCATAAAAAATGAAGAGAGTCATGGTAGAGAGAGGAGAAGAAAAATAATAAGAGAACTTTTATGTGTAAGATTTATTCTTTTCAACCTTTCAAAATTAATGTAAACTACTTTTGCGCAAGTAGTTTGCTTTCTTATATTTTTATGTTCAATAATTTATGCATGAATTGTCAGTGGACCTTCGAATTCTTTATTAAAAGATATGAAATTCTTCGAGAATTTAAAATAACATAAAATGAATGTATCGCTTGGTCATCGATATACTTCATAAGAAGAGTTGTATGAAATGTTTATTTTATTGTTATATAATTGTGATTCTGTGAATGGAAACTACACATATTTTATTGAATATTATTAAGAGCTTNATATAATTGTGATTCTGTGAATGGAAACTACACATATTTTATTGAATATTATTAAGAGCTTGTTTGGGAGAGATTTTTGGGGGAAGAATTGATTTTGAACAGTGATATGATGGGAAATGTATGGTTGAAAAAGAAGAAAAAGTTATTAATGTGATGGAAAATATTATTTTATTGAAAAATGTGTGGTTGAAAATGAGAATTGATTTTCTGTAGAAAAATTTAATCTCTCCCAAACAGGGCTTAAATACTCACTCTTACAAAATTTTACAGATTAGTTCGGGTCGATTAGAACTATGGCGGGATGGTAATGCAGACTGTCAAGAGGAATTGAAGAAATAAAAACACAAATTTTTTTTTTTATCTCCTAGCTTATTTATTGTTTATTTGTTCAAATACACGTTTATTAATTAGTTACATGATTATATTTATTTTTTTAGAAATTCAGATTTCATGTTTTACTTGATATTTATTGTTGAAAATAAAGTTATATTTTTATTTTTATCGTTTTCACTTTTAAAAATTAAATTTTTAACAACACCTCAATGTTTTATGAAAATTGGAGTGTTACAGCAGTACTGTTGACACAGACATTATGCAGTTGTAGTTGTCTTTTTAATTTTATAAATTGATTTTTCATAATCATATTTCATTTAAATTTTATCAAAATTTATTTTCAGCCAAATCAAATTGAAACTAAAATGACCATTTGCAATAGGAACTTCCAAGCATTGTAAAATTAGTCATTAATATGATAGACAGTAATCAGCCATAGAACCCTATTAATACAAGTGATTATTTGGAAAATGTGTGGTAAAAAGTAGAGAAAAATTTTGAGTTTACGTGTAAAATATTTTAATTTATGAATTTGTGGTTGAAAAGGGTGTGTGGTTTAAAAAGATTGATTTTTTTTTTTAAAGTTTACATGTAATATTATTTTATTAAAAAATGTGTGGTTGATAAGATTGAGAGGAAAAATAAATTTTAATTTAATGGGGGTCAAACATGAGTTGAATTAACATTTTAATTTAGAGGGCGAATTTGCCTCTTAAATTTATAGAGCTAACACATACACACTCTATAATTAAATGCATTCGAATTATTTCAATTTTAAATAAAAAAAATAACATAATAATTTGGAGGGATGCCAGTGAAAATAAAATATGGGAAAAAAATAATAAATATATTTTGAGAGTAGTAAAATTAAGCTCTTTTTTAATCCATATTTTTTTTTCAAAATACATCATTCACGTCTTCTTTTCAATCATACATTTTTCAATAAAATAATATTGCACGTAAAAAAAAATTTCCTTATTTTTTAACCACACATTCTTTATCAATCTATTATTCCAAAATATATTCTACACTAAAAAAGAGGCTCAAACATGCCCTTATTGTTAAATATAAAAAGTCCGTTGGAGTGTTTAAAAATTTTTACTCTCTAAATTTACAGACACTCTAAATTGTAGAATATATCCTTTAAAAATAGAGAGATAGACTATGTAATTAGAAATTTTTTTAGAAAACATATGGACTCTATAATTGAATTCCTCTATAGTAAAATTTGTTCTAGAAACGACCCATGCATCCATCATTTACTCGGATAGTTGCATTCTGTCTAAATTGAGAAATGTTATTCATCCCCACTGGGGATGCATCCCCAATCTATGTGGCGTTAATGTGGCATTAAATGATTGGTGAAATTAAATAAGTCATTTAATTTCACCTATAATTTAGCCAATCATTTACATTCACATAGATTGTGAATGCATTCTCACTGGGGATGAATAGCATTTTTCGTCTAAATTAGAGAAAATGTATAAAATGCTCGATACATCTTGGATTTTTTTATTTTTTATTTTTGCAAAATTTCAGAGAAACATAGCATCCTATGCAACCTCGTTTTTCTTTTAACAAAATTAAAAATCATAGTGTAAGAAATAAAATAAGAAAAGATTTAGCGTCAAGACATTTACGCGTTAAAAATATATCGGTGAAGACTATCGGAAAAATATAAAAAATAATAAAATTTAAAGTCAAACTAAAAGATAATTGAAAATAAAAAATAAAAAATATATTTATGAAATTTGCGATGAGACCACAAATATTAAATTAATAAATTACAAATCAAAAATAAAAAAGTAAATTCTGTCAAATAAAAATCAATCGACTAATATGATGATTGTAATACCCAGAATCGGCCGAAGACCCCCATTTGGTCTTCATGAGGCATTGCTAAATTGACAAATGCCTCGTCAAGAAAATGTCATTTGTACACTTTAAAGTGTACATCATGCTTGACAATGCCTTTGTTGTAAAAAAAATTGTTGGAGAGCAAACTGTTTTTTTTTTAATTGTCAACAGTTTGTCATGTGACAAATGTACCGAGTTTGATTGTCCAAATTTACACCTACGTGATTATGCGTCCTCGAAATTTGCATGCAATCCTTAGGGATCAAGAAAAATCTTGTATGATTAACCTCTACAAGGAAACCTAATCGTGCAAGAAAACATACTTTTGGAAGGAAACATACCATGACAAAACAATGACTTGTGCGAAGCAATGAGTCCATGATAATTGATTGGGACTGCATGCTTAGTGTCTTGCTCCACAAAAATCAGCCTCCTATCAATAGAGACGCAAGATAAGTTAAATATACGCTATGCTTTTCTCTAACACTAGCTAAATCTTTGTTTGATT